AAGTAGCTCAACTGGAACCTCTGAGATGTCAAGTTGTCTGCCAAAATGACTATAAATAAACATTGGTTTCAACTCTACTTGCAAACTTTCCTATGTCTTCATCCAAGCCACAGCCTTCAAAGACAGGACATCATTCTAGGATGATTTGATTGTTCAGTCTGTTTTAAGTCACTATTGGTTCAAGAACCTGTGAAGATTTAAACTAAAATACTTGTAATTTAAAATGCTTAAAGTTAAACACCATTTTTCTCAGTTACATTGTATGTTTATTCCCCTACTTGACTTGTCTATGAAGCACATAACAACACTTTTTATCCAGCCATCAGACACTATACAAACGTAGAAATTAGGAGCAGAAATAGGCCATTTGGCAGTTCCAGCCTACTCCGCTAAGATCATGGCTGATGTGTTTGTTTTGCAAGTTCCATATTCCCATCAATCCCCAATAACCTTTGATTCCTTTGCCTATCAAGAATGCACCTATCTCTGCCTTAAAAATATCTAATAACCCCACATCCACCGCCTAATTTTTAAAAATGTCCCCTAGTCTGGATTTGACTGAAAGAGAAAGCATCCTTCCATGCCCACTTTTTATGACTATTAAGGATCTTATAAATTTCAATCAAATCATGCATTGCTGTTCTGAACTATAGTGAAAACCAGCCCAGCGTGTCTGGTTTTTTCTCATTCGACAACCTACACCAAGTATCAATCTAGTAAACCTCCTCCATTGCATTTTCATCTTAAATGAGACCAATACTGATCACAGTATTTGAGATGTCGTCTTTTGTGCCCATGCCCCATAAACCAGAACCCGCTTATCCACATTCATTTTTATAATCTTATTTGTCCTTTGACAATTTGCATGTGGCTCAGGCAGTAGTCTGGAGATTATTACTTTCAAGGTTCTGCTTTTTAATTCAACACCTAACTTCTTATGTTTTCTCAGCAGAACCTCTTTCATGGCTCTACTAATGTTGTTGGTAATGACATGAATCATGATCATTGCAAATTCTTTACCAGTCCACAGCAGACAGCACAGCGATCAGGGCTCAGGCTGTTTGCTGCAGACAACGGTGTCAATCCCCTTCACTATACTGTACCCTATTAACACTAATGTTGTGGATTCTAATACTTTTATATTCAATCTACAGAAACCATAATAAAACAGCTTGTTGTTTCAATAGGATTCAGTCAGAAACTTAATGATATGTGAACATTTCCCCATAAATAATTATTCTGACAATCTTTCTGGGTTTCTATCCACACACAATCGCACCAATTTACATGTCCTGAGATGAATATGTTGGCCAAGCAGATCACTAAATTCTATCTGCCTTACAGGAAACCAATAACTGATAATCTAGTGTGCATATTGTGAATATTGAAAAATATCCTACGGCAAATATGTACTATGTCATAATCTTTAGCTTAAGTTTAAGGAAAATCTGTACTTGTTCCATTTGACTAATTGTGGACTACTTTCTAAAAATATCAAATATTGAGACTGTAATACAATCCTAATTTCATTGCTTAAAGTTTCAAAATTCAATGCATTTGGTTATGGAATGTGGCATTGCTAGCTGCCCTAATTGGCCTTGAGAAGATGGGGGTAAGCAGCCTTCGTGAACTCCTGCAGTCCCTCTGGTGAAGATACACCATAAGACATAGGTGCGGAATTAGGCCATTCAGCCCATTGAGTCTGCACCATTTGATCATGGCTATGTTTTTCAACCCCATTCTCCTGCCTTCTCCCCATATCCTTTGATCTCCTTACTATCTATTTCTGTCTTAAATACACTCAATGACTTGGCCTCTGTGGCAGTGAGTTCCACAGATTCACCACCCTCTGAAGAAATTCCTCCTCATCTCAGTTCTAAAGGGTTGTCCATTTGAGGCTGTGCTAGAGTCCTAGAGCCTCCTACTGGAAACACCTTCTCCACATCCACTCTATCTAGGCCTCTCAGTATTCTATAAATTTCAATGGGATATCGTCTTTATCCTTCTGAACTTCCGAGTACAGACCCAGAGTCTTCAACTACTCCTCATCCAACAAGCCCTTCATTCCTAGGATCATTATTGTGAACTTCCTCTGTACCCCTTCAAAGGCCAGCACATCTATCCTTACATAGAGGGTCCAAAACTGCTCATAATATTCCAAGTGCGGTCTGACCAAAGCCTTATACAGCCTCAGCAATATGTCCATGCTCTTGTATTCTAGCCCTCTCAGAATGAAGGCTAATGTTGCATTTGCCTTCCTTCCTACCTACCAAGTGACCCTGCATGTTAAGAGAATTCTTAAGAGCATCCTGAACTAGCACTCCCAAATTCCTTTGTTCTTCAGATTTCTGAAGCCAATCCCCACTTAGAAAATACACTCTGCGTCTCGTCTCGTGTGACACATTGGCATATTGGTTAGCACTGCTGCCTCACAGCACCAGATACCTAGGTTTGATTCCGGCCTTGGGTGACTGTGTGGAGTTTGCACATTGTCCATGTCTGCATGGGTTTTCTCTCGGTGCTCCAGTTTCCTCCCACAGTCCAAAGATATGCAGGCTAGATGGATTAGCCATGGGAAATGTGGGGTTTTGGGGATAGGGTAGGGGGCTGGATCTGGGTGGGATGCTCTTCAGAGGGTCAGTGTAGACTTGATGGACCAAATGGCATCTTTCTGCACTGTGGTGATTCTGATTCTATTCTTTGTACCAAAGTGCACAATCTCACACTTTCCCAAATTGTGTTCCACCTGCCACTTCTATGCCCACTTTCCTAGCCTGACAAAGTCCTTCTGCAGCCTCCCTGCTTCCTAAACACTACCTACCCTTCCACCTTTGTTTGTGTTATCTGCAAACTTAGCAACAATGCCCTCAGTGTCTTCATCAAGATTATTACTGATAACATATTTAATTGGGGTCTGAACACAGACCCCTGCTGAACTCCACCAGTCCAATCTGCTGTTGGGGAGTTCTGGGGTTTTGAATCAGTAACAGTGAAGGTATAGTGAGATGGTTCCAAGTCAGGGTGGGGTGTGGCTTGGAGAGGAACATACAAGTGGCGGTGTCCTATGCAACTGCTGTCATTGAATCATCATTAGAATTCCTACAGTGTGGAAACAGACGATTCGGCCCAACAAGTCCACACCGCCCCTCTAAAGAGCATCCCATCTAGACCCATCCCCCGACCCTTTACCTGTAACCCTGCATTTCCCATGTCTAATCCACCTAACTTACACACCCCTGGACACTATGGGCAATTTAGCATGGCCAATCCACCTAACCTGCTCATCTTTGGACCATGGAAGGAAACTGAAGTACCCAGTGGGTACCCATGCAAACAAGGGGAGAATGTGCAAATTCCACACAGTCACCCAAGGGTGGAATTGAACCCCAGTCCGTGGCCTTGTGGGGCAGCAGTGCTGACTACTGAGCCACCTTGTCAAAGATCCAAGGTTAGAAAGTACTGTCTGAGGACCAGAGGTAAGTTGTCGGAGTGTGTCTCGTAGGTGGTAAACATTGCTGCCACCTTAGTGTTGATATAGAGGTTGGGGCTTCAATCAAGTCAACTGCTTTGTACTGGATAGTGTTGAGCCTCTTGTGTTTTTGGGCTATATTCATTGCAGGCAAGTGGTGAATATTCTATCACACTATTGATTGGTGCCTTGTAGATGGTGGACAGACTTTAGGGAAAGAGGTTGTGTGACTTCCTTTATAGCCATTAACATAAAAATACAAATTTTGACATACAAATTTCCAGCACAAATAGATCACCTGGCCCTTCTGAGCCTGCTCACCCATTCACTAAGATCATAGCTAAACTGATAACTTCTATTTTTCATTTATTAATTTCCTAGATTAAACTTTGAGGATCTCCATTCATTTGGTTAGCTCTTTTCCTTAATCAGCTGTAGAAAATTTTTCCATTTTTATTTCTAACTAACTTTGTCTCTAATTTTTCACTCCTTAATCTTTGTCAAACTTTTTCTTAAATGTCAGATCTTTTGCCTTTAAGTTTGATACCATCTTGAACTTTTCTTTGGTTAACCATAGATGATGGGTCCACTCCATTGGAATTTCTCTTGGTGGAATGCAAGTATGTATTATATATTCTGAAATATTTCTTCAAATACCTGGTACTGCAGACTATTGACATATCCCTAAATCTTATCTGCCAGTTCATTCTGTTTTCATGCCTTCATAATTGTCCTTAGTTAGGTGTAAGATACCAGTCTGGATCTACCTTTCTCTTATCTTTTCAGAAGGTACACAGAATTAAATCTCAATTTCTCATGATTCTCTTCTGAAGCAGCAATGATGTGTACTGTGTGTCTGGAGTCAACTGTAGCAGTTGAGAACCAGGTGCTTCTTGAAGAGGGAGTGTTTCCTGGTCATGGACAATTGAGCAAGCAAGCTAGACAACTGCTATGGTGCACTGTCCAGTAATCTGTTAGCTGGGAGCAAATTATCTTCCTACAGAAGATGAAATCACAAACTGGTGCTTTTGTTTTAAGAAAGACAATGCAATTGAAATATTGCAGATCGATTTTCTGTTTTTGCAGGCATTGTTATCAATTGAATGAATTCCCCCACAGTTGTGCCTACCTTACTCGGTGTTTCTGCCATCAAGCTGTTTGGCATACAGATGTACTGAAGGAATCATTAGATCTAATGCAGAATCAAAATGGCTCACTCTTTCAAAGCAGTATTAAAAACAATATTTCCATTTGGTTGGCTCTGGTAGGGAACCTGCTTTCTTAAAATGGTGATTGAAGTAGTGAGAATAAACAAGAGACAGAGCTGCGTGATAACATACCACTTTGAAACTGCAGTTCGAGTCCAGTGCTGAATGAAAATTACTGTGCTAATGAGACTGGACAATCGTAATGCAAATCCCAATTCAAGATCTATAATCTTATAAAGTGATAATTTGGACACATGTCCTTTCATTTTGTCTTTTAAATCATCAAACAAATATATTAGTATTACTGTGTGACTTCTTTGCAGGCAAATGAAATCATTCCACCCAAAAAAACAAGAGCCTCATTGTCAGACCTATCCAGTACTGAAGATATTGAAGCATTGACTGTTCGTCAGCTGAAGGAAATACTGGCACGCAACTTTGTCAGCTTTTCAGGGTGTTGTGAAAAGTGGGAATTAGTGGAAAGAGTGAAGAGATTATTCAAAGAAACAGAAGAAAATCGCAAGTTCTGTAAGTTTGTCTCAAATGTTTTATTAGAAATTTATTCATTTAATTCAATAAGTAGTGACTTTAAATTTTTTTCTGTTGCAGTGGAAAATGGAAATAACCCAGATGTAGCTGCAGGTAAGTTGTCAACCTTTCTTGAGCTTTTTGTAAGTTGAAAATAAAGTATTTTGCAATTAATAAGGGGTATTAGAGTAGAGTCTGCAGAAGGAAAGAGATTCTGATCAAATTATTTCCATTTTACAGAATGCTGGATGAACTTTTTTATTTTAATAAAAAGTATCTTCTTACTGTCTGACATACTGCAGTTAAATTTCTCTCTGCTGGGCTGCTGTAATAAAAAGGAACATCTACATGTGATATTGTTGAAGCTACTCTGGTGCCATGAGATGTAGGGAAACCTGGCACATGAATGTTTTCATGGATCCATGAGCTTTAGTATTGATATTTAGGTTGTTGCAATGCCTGAGGACTGAAAGTGGGTGAACAAGGGCAGAGGAGAGATGACTTCAGTGGGAGTGGTGGAGTTGTATTGTGACCATGGCTGTCTGAGTTCATGGCCCCAGCATTTCAGTTGGCAACGCTACTTGGAGACCAATTCCCATGTTGGGAAGCCTTGATCAAGCAGTAAGAGACAGGGAAATTTTACTTTGTAAATTCAATTAACTTGCAAATTAGTAACCATTTTAGTAGAACTGAAAGTTTCATAAAAAATTTACATTTCATAAGCTAATTTTAATTAATTTGACTTGTGTTTTTTTTAAGATCTTGGATGGTTTACATGTTATAACTTAACACTGATTTCATACAAAAGGATTGTTTGGGCCCACGGGGACTTGTTTAAGATGGTATATAGATTGATGATACTTGTTACAAATAAAATTCTTACTCCATAGTCCTGTAATCCCCTAGTCGGGCATAACTCATAATGAATTTTCTTGCCTCTACAAACAATGAGACTGTAGCTCAGCAGAAATTGACCTATACATTTTTTGCCTCAATCAAAATGAAAATTCTGATAAAATAATAAAGCTGCAATTGGTTGTGGATTTGGACAGTAAATGTCATGTTAAGCACTCAGGATTATTAATGAAATTTTGCAAGTAATACTATTGAATAGTTACATTAACCCTCTTTCTCTCTGAATTATTGAATCTAAACCTTTACAATATGAACAGTAAGCACTTTTTTGAGGTATTTCAGTTAGTGTTTGACAAAATGCTAATCTTCAAAAAGTACAATTTGAATTGAACAAAGTTAGAATATTTGTAATTAGTCAGTCAGTGCAAAAAAACAAGTTAATCTTTCAAGGATGGCTCCTTCAATGCAGCCAAAATGTTCTACAGTGGCTGATTAATTTGTGGTGATCAGTGTCAAGTTAAGTTTATACTGGTTCTGCTTAATTCAGTAATAGTACACCAACACGTTTCGTTTTTAAAACGTTTCTGTTCTTTTAGCCGATTCTTCATAAGGCATGGTATTGAATTTGGAGCAGCAATAATCTGGCATTTGCAAGCGCAGCTAGTACTCAATTTTGCATTTATACAGGTGCCTGAAAATTAACTTTAAAGTTTAGCTTACTGCCAAAACAATGCTTAATAGTTTTTCATTAGTTAACCAGTTCGCTTTCCTCCCCACCTCCAACCCTGTGATTCTGTTTTTCTTCCAGTTGAAGAACAGCTGCAGTTCAGCAGTGACGAGAATCTCTGCAGGATCTGTATGGATGCAGTGATCGATTGTGTTCTCCTCGAATGTGGTCACATGGTCACTTGCACTAAATGTGGAAAGCGCATGAACGAATGCCCTATTTGTCGACAGTATGTTGTACGGGCAGTACATGTCTTTAAATCTTAAACTTGGGAGGTGTTTGAATGAAAGAAGTTGGCTTTTCCTGTGGATACATGAAACTTGATGGAGAAACATTTTATGACCATATCAATGACTGTAATTTGTTGTAGCCATTTTGGATAGTGTTAGTGGAATGGAATTTTTTAAATTTACTAACAGTTATCATTACTTATTACTGGGAGCCTTAAAGATATTAGAGTTAAACATGTTAAGGTGCAAACAAAAAATTACTGACTTATCATCACTAAGTCAGAGACTAAATGAAGGATATGCTGGGAAAAAAAAAGCAAAGATTCTATTTTAAACTTTTCACATCGTTTTTATAAGTCTCCTAAAACATTTGCCATTTAACAGATTAATGTGTGATAGTGTAGCTATTAACTGTGGTGCATGCTTGCTCTCTCTGAATTGAGCATTTAGCAGTACCCAATATGAGAACAGAAAGGAAACCTCAATCTTTCTTAATTTACTTCCAACTATCTTTTCTTCTTTTTGATTTCTGTACTTTTTGTACATGTTTTTAAATTCATTTTGACTAATAAAGAACTTATTGGAATAGCAATTCTCATTCAATTTGACAAATTAGTAAAATCAATATAATTTGCTTTCTTTGAGAGATTTTTGTAGAACTAACTAACATTTTTGTCATTCCATTTTTAATTTATATTCTGTTCCTTCCATAAAGTTGAAACAGCTATTATGCAATTTTATGTATAAAGACATGTGTCAAATCTGTGGTGCTTATTATTTCTAACTGCAACAATTACACTTGCCTATAGAATCATTAACAACTTAACAGAATTTTTTAGAACAGTGTGCCTTCTCAAGATAATGATTTCTTCAGTGTCCAGTTGTGGTAAGTAGTCTTATGGGCAGTTGCTTCCAGCCTACAAGTCAGCCTTCAGTGAAAGGAATGATGGACTGCAGGAAGGAGAGCAGAGGCACACTGGCTTGGAGGCGGAGTACTATTGTTAATTATAACAAACTATATGGTGCAATTTGGAGGATGATTATCTTAGCCTATGGAAAATATTTAGTCATCTGTAGACAGGAGAGATGTTCTAGCTGTTGAAATTAGGTGAAATAAAACTGTACAACACTTACTACAGCACTCTTAAGTGACTAAGTTGTCACTGCACTATCACTGACTTGTACACCCCTAGCACATTACCTCTTCTACTGCAGAACCAGAAATCGGTTTATGAATAACTTTTCATTTTCTTTTCCTCCATTGAGACAATACTTGGATTTTTGTGGGTTTTGATACCTCATGCAGCTTGCAGCTTACAGCTTACAACCCACAGCAACAAAAGCACTTTCTTGGCACAAACAGCAGAGTATTTAGTATCTTCAGTGTATTTTCTGATTTTAGAGTCCTTATGGACAAAGTCCAGCGTGAATCAGTTTCCGTTCCATGTGTGCCAGGCTTCACTGCGAAATAAAGTTATGTAGGCACACCAAATAGCTTTCACCGTCAGCCAGAGGTTGCTAAATGTTGATGGAACTGACAAAGAGGACTCCATACATTAGAGGGTAGTAAACATGGTAAAACCTGGTCCTGTTTATATGAAGTTTGCACTAGGGCAATTAATGTATTTAACTGCCAATACATTGCTCACAATTGTTAAAGAACAACTTTTGAATCCTGTGTTCTACTACTTACAGTCAGCCCTACCTCCTTTGAGGATTTCAGATATTTTTGAAAAAACGTGTGTATTTTCTGAGAAACTGACTGCTCCTCCGACTCTACTAAAGTAATGCAATATTTTTCTGCAACCCTCCCATCAACATTGTTTTTTTTAAAAAATGTGTTGATTTATCCTCAGTCCCCTTTGGTTTCTGCTATTCCACTGTATCAGGAATACATTTCCTGGGAGTTGCACAGTATTCGTTACTGAATGGAAGTCTTAGAAATCTCTCAGTTTAAAGTTAACGTCAAAAACCAAAAGCTTTTAAAAGAGGTTAGAATACAAAGGACAACCTGATCAAGGACTAAAACTTAAGGCAATTTGAATTGTAGGACATCCATTAGTCTACTTATCTGGGCATAAGTTGTAATGAACACAAACACAAAATTAATTCTCATGTCTCACCCTATCCTTAATTTGCATCTCATTTACATGCATAACAAACTTCAACAGACACAAAATGGGGTGGAAACCATTGTTTTCTCTGTGAAAACGATCATTTTCATTTAGAGAAGTGTTTAAAAAAG